TGCCTCAATTTAATGTGCACTGTTTCTGGCAGTCTGCAAAGGCCCCAATGGTGACCCTGTGGATGAGATATCCCCAAGACCTCTGTCCTCAACCCCAGGATAGGGCTGCTTTAAGATGGAAAGGACTTGAAGGCACACAACAAAAACAACAAATGATCAATTGCTTGAGAGCCAGTGTGGCATAGCGGTATGAGCACTGGACTAGGACTCTGGAGCCTAGGATTCGAATCCCCGCTTGGCCATGGGAACCAATGGGGCAAGTCACACTCTCTCAGCCACAGGAAAACCCCATGATAAGTTTGACTCAGGGTCACCTGATAAATCAGAAACAACTTGAAGACACACAAGAACAAACGTTCAAGTGCTTGAGAGCCAGTGTGGCGTAGAGCTTTGATAACTGGACTAGGACTCTGGAGTCCTATTCAAATCCCTGCTCAGCCATGGAAACCCACTGGGAGATGTTGTGCGTCACACTCTCTCAGCTGCAGGGAAATTTTATTTATTCATTTATTTATTTAGTATGCCACCTTTCTCCTGGGGGGACCCATGCCGAGTCGCACTCTCTCAGCCGCAGGAAAGTTATTTATTCATTTATTTCATTTGTATGCCACCTTTTGCCTGGGGGGAATTCATGCCGAGTCACACTCTCCCAGCTGCAGGAAAATATAATTTATGTATTCATTTCATTTGCATGCTGCCTTTTGCCCAGGGGAATTCATGCCAAGTCACACTCTCTCAGCCACAGGAACATGTCATTTATTTATTTAGCTAGTTTGTATGCTGCCTTTCTCCAGGGGGAATTCATGCCAAGTCACTCTCTCTCAGCCATAGGAAAATGTCATTATTTTTGTTTGTATGCCCCCTTTCTCCGGGGAGGGATACAGATGCCAAGTCACACTCTCTCAGCTGCAGGAAAATATAATTTATTTATTAATTTGGTTTGCATGCCGCCTTTCTCCGGAGACTCAAAACAGAGAAGTAAATAACGAAATGTAAATTGATGATATACTGAAAGTGAGAATGAAGGAATGAGAAGGAATGTGAGAGAAGAAGACCAAAATAAAAGAGTAAAGACATAGAAGGAAATAAAAAGTAAATAACCAAATGTAAATTGGTGTTATCAAGACTCTAAGGGGGGTTGCAGACTGCCAGAAATAGTGCAAATTCAGTCCACTTTTAGGGTTAGGGTTAGGGAATCATGGGAACTGTACTTTATTGTGGCACCAGAGTTCTCTGACAGAGAAGGCTCAATGTCTCAGAAAAAAAAAATTCCCATGATTCCCTAGCACTAACCCTAACCCTAAAAGTGGACTCAATTTGCACTATTTCTGGCAGTCTGCAACCCCCCTAAAACACCCGCACTACATAGATATATATGTAATAAGGATGTATATACTATCACACTTTTATTTTATTTTATTTTTTAAAAATATTAAAACTGAATAAAGATATTTTTGGGGAGATAAAGGTTCTCCTCAGGGTGGCCCTAAACAACAAGAGCTGCATCAACGGCTTGCAAGGCTCCTCAGGAGCGAGCCCAGGCGATAGGCCTAGGTTGCGTCATCCAGGCCGCCTCCCTTTAACCGTCCCCTCCAGCCCTCCTGGTGTTCTTTGCTAAGTCTTCCCCCTTCCGCAGTAAGCGGAACCTTCGCGACGGGGGCTGAGGGGAGGGAGTTCGCCGTCGGACCTGCCCGGGTAGCGCGGCAGGAGGCGAGGCGAAGGAGGCTGAGGGGGCTGTCCGTTTCTTCCATAGTCCCTTCGGGTGAGTGTCCGCCGGGTTCCCTCCCGCCTTCGCTTTTCAGGGCGGCCCTGAGGCTGGAAGAGGAGGAGGAGGAGGAGCGGGAAAGAGCACTGGGAGGGCTGGGAAGGTCACCGCCAGGGAAGGTCCTTTCGCTTTCGCCTTCCCGCTGGGGAAACAAACCCAAGGAGGGCTCTCCTCTGTCCCTTCTTCCGCCACCATTTTGTGGAGAGAGGCGACCAAAGGAAGGTGAGTCTCTCTGGCTGTATCCGCGCCGCTGCTATAATAATTATATTAATAATTGTTACTGTCATTAACAGTTTTTGTTGCTGTTAACTGCCCTTGAGTCGATCTCGACTCATGGCGACCCTATGGATGAGACATCTCCAAGACTCTCTGTCCTCCACTGCTCTGCTTAAATCCTGCAACCCCCTAATGACCTCCTTAATAGAGTCCGTCCATCTAGCACAGGGGTAGGCAACCTTTCCCCTTTAAGGGCCGAGGGACGTCAGCTCCCAGAATCCCAGGAGTTATTGGCCAATATGGGACTATTGGCCAACATGGCTGAGGCTTCTGGGAGCTGAAGTCCCTCGGCCCTTAAAGGGGAAAGGTTGCCTACCCCTGATCTAGCATGTGGCCTCCCTCTCTTCCTACTTCCTTCCACCTTTCCCAGCATTATTTCCTTTTCTATTGAGTCTTCCCTTCTCATGATGTGTCCCAAAGTACAACAACCTCAGTTTGGTCATCTTGGCTTCCAGGGAGGTTTCTGGCTTGATCTGCTTTAAGACCCATTTGTTTGTCCTTTTGGCTGTCTACGGGATCCTCAACACTCATCTCCAGCACCACATTATCTCAAATGTATTGGTTTTCTTCCTATCATCTTTCTTAAGTGTCCAGCTCTCACATCCATCCATGGTAATAGGGAATACAATGGCTTATAGGAGTCTAACTTTTGTACTGAGTTGTATATCTGAATTTTAGGATCTTTTCTAGTTCTTTCATAGTCACCCTCCCTGTTCTTAGTCTTCTTCTGATTTCCTGACTGTAGTCCCCATTTCTATCAATGTTTGATCCCAGATATGGGAATTCTTTTACTATTTCTATTACTTCATTGTCTAGGTTAAACTTGTGAAGGTCCTTGGTGGTCATTATTTTTGTTTTCTTTATGTTCAACATGAAGCCTGCCTTAGCATTTTCTTCTTTGATCTTCCTTAGTAGGTGATCCAGGTCTGTGAGGTTTTCTGTTAGTATTATGGTGTCATCCACATATCTGAGATTGTTGTTATTTCTTCCTCCTATTTTCACTCCTCCCTCTTCCATGTCCAAACTAATAATTAGTACTAATTCTAATAATGGTACTAGATTAAAAACTAGATTATTATTACTATTATTAATAGTAATTAATACTGTTGAATGCTCTGCTCTCCAGAGTTGAATTAATACTAATAATATTAATAGTATTGATACTAATCATAGCAATAATATTCTAGTTTTTAACTGCTGTGGTGGCTGAGTCCGATGGAAGTCTGGGAATTATAATTCGTTGAGATACTAGTCCAAAACACACTGCAGAAATAATCCAGTTGGAGACCACCTTAATTGGATTCCTTAGGACTGAGCCAGGGCAATTAAAGAAGCCACAATCGGGATTATTTCTGCAGTGTGTTTTGGACCAGTTTTGGACAAAAATATAATTCCCAGACTTCCATCGCACTGAGCTGCCATGGCCGTTAAAAATGTTGTCACAAACTGGATTATAATTACCACAAACTGGATTCTTTTTGGAGTGTTTTCTGGACCACTTTTAGCCTTCTCTGTCAGAGAGTTGTGGTGCCTCCCAACAAATGGTATGCCAGAATGGGGTTGGACTGAATGGCCCTTGTGGTCTTTTCCAACTCTGTGATTCTACACTTCCCAGAATTCCATAGCATGAAGCCATGACAGTTAAAGCAGTGCCAAACTTGACTGTTTCTGCATTGTGGATAGGATCTCTCTGGTTCAAAACACACTGCAGAAATAATCCACTTCGAAACCTTTAACTGCCCTGGATCAGTGCTGGGAAATCCTGGAAAAAATTATAGTTTATTGTGGCACCAGAGCAATCTGACCGAGAAGGCTAATTGTCTCACAAAACTACAGTTTCTCAGAATTCCCTAGCATTGATCCATGGCAGTTAAAGCTGTGCCAAACCAGATTATTTCTGCAGTGCAGATAGGATCTCTGTCATTTGCTCTGGATTTTTCCCTGCAGGAGTGGTCCCAATCATCATGAGGCCAGCTTCCTGCCTCCCGTTCTGTCACCAGCTGGTAAAATAAGAACAACAACAATAATGAATTTTATTTCTTTCCCGCCTCTGCTCAGGGGTTGAAGCAGCATACAGAACATTACAAAGTACTATTAATAATTTTTTAAAAATTAGTATTAGTTGTCTTTAACTGTTGGGTCTCACAACTCTCCTGTAAGGTAGGTTTTCCAGGAAGCATTTGAACATGTGGTGGTGGTGGTGGTGTGCTTTCAAGTTGTTTCTGACTCAGGACAATCCCAAGGTGAACCTATCAAGGATTTCTCTGTGGCTGGGAGTGTGTGACTCACCCAAAGTCACCCAGTGGGTTTCCATGGCTGAGCAGGGATGTGAACCCTGGTCTCCAGAATTGTAGTCCAAGGCTCAAGCCACTACACCACGCTGCCTCACAGGTAAATATATGGAGTGTTACTGAGGCGAACCTATCACAAGGGTTTCTTGTCAAGTTTTTTCAGAGGTGAGTTGCTATTGCCATCCTCTGAGGCTGAGAGCATGTGACTTGCCCAGGGTCACCCAATGGGTTTTCATGGCCAAGCCAGGATTTGAACCCTGCTCTCCAGAGTTGAAGTCCAACACTCAAGCCACAAATCTTATCTTCAGACATTGAATTAAAATGCCATATCTCCCCACCTCCCTCTCTGTCACCGGCTGGTAAAAATACTATTAATAACTTTTTTTTTATTAGCACTGGTTGTCTGGCAGTGGTTCCCAAAATTTGGCCTTTCAGGTGTTTCGGACTTCAGCTCTCTGGGCTGTGGGAGCGAATGACCAAAGTTTGGGAACCACTGGGTCTTCCGACAGTCCTGTAAGGTACGTTTTCCAGGAAGCACTTGAACATGTTGTGGTTGTAGTTGTGTGCCTTCAAGTTATTTCTGACTTAGGGCAACCCTAAGGTGAAACTATAAAGGGTTTTTCTGCAACTGAGTGTGTGGCTCACCCAAGGTCACCCAGTGGATTTCCATGGCTGAGCAGGGATTTGAATCTTGAACTCCAGAGTTGCACTCAAACCACAAATCTTCATCTGTCAGACATTAAATTAAAATGCCATATCTTCCCACATCCCTCTCTATTATCATTAGTTGTCTTCAGCTATGCAGTCTTACAACACATCTGTAAGGTAGGTTATCCAGTAAGTACTTGAACGTGTAGTGGTGGTTGTTGTATGCCTTCAAGTCGTTTTCAGCTTAGGATAACCCTAAGAT